AAGAAATTACCATTTTACATAAGAATTGCATCACTTTTAAAACAAATCAGACTTTTCACAGTGCTCAAGAATGTCTGCGGATCCACATTATTGGAGTATGCACTTTTTTCTGCGTGCAAGTGTGTGATTGCTATGGTTTAAGTAAGAATGTCTTTACAATATTTCCATCTCGTACTGATGTACCTTACCCTGCTTGACCCAGATCATTCAGAGTTCTCATCTTCTCTCTTGGGTAACCACTGTCCTTATCCCATCATCTGGTTGAGAGGAACCTGTTCACAGCTGCATAGAATGCAGCAGGGTACAGCAGCCTGAGGGCAGGTTTAGGTCTCAATACCAAGGCTAGGTTGGATGGGGCCGTGGAAAGCCTAATCTAATGCCTGATCTAGTGCAGAAATCTTTGAACTAGGTGATCATTGAGGTCCCTACCTATGCAAGCCATTCTATGATTCTATGATCTCTATGACAAGGAGTACTTCCACAATCGGACTCAAAATGTTGAATCAAACTCCTGGTTTTTGCTCTTCTGCAAGGAGAACCATACCTCATGTACTTGCAGAGATTTACATTACCACCAATCCTTCTCCATTCCCAGTTCTGCCTGCAAGCTCAGTCTCACCTTTGAGTTCAAAACCAGCATCATACTGGCTTAATCTGAGCTTATACCTGCTACATGCAGCAACATGTTAAGCACAAACAGTGGCACGTGAACCATGGGACTGGATGTATCAACTGCCAAGGTATCTTAAATGCTGGAGGAGAAGAGTCTTAAGACGCTTATGTGCAACGTGACAATGTATTGTCTAATTCAGGGGGGTCCTAGATCTTCATTTCAAAGCACTTACTGCTATTGTAACAGCAGGAAAAAAAAAAAAAAAAAGAGGAAAAAAATAGTACAAGATTTCTAATGCAAATTTCAGCAAAAGTTGGCACTTAGTCCCACAAAAATTAGAGAGAAGAGTCTAATAGTCTGAAGTCGAGTGGGTGTTCATTTGTCTGCTTGCCACCTCCTCATTTGCTCCACATGAGCTGAGAATCTTCAGCTTATTGTCCTGGAGAGCTGGGAATTAGTAGACAGTGAGGTTGTCTGCCTGGTTTTGAACATGCATGTCTCAACTGAAGGCAGCAAGGAAGGCATCCCAAGCTAAAACAAACATCACTCTGCTCTGTCTTTTCTAAGACTGAAATTCTGCAGCCAGATATCACATCTGCTAAACAAGCACTTTTTATGGGATACCTTTTAAAACTGAAATTCTCCATTTAATCAAAGGTGCTACAAAGAAAATCAGCACTGGCGGTAAGGGGTGAGCAGATAGAAAGGCATACATAGGAACTATTTCAATTAGAGAACCCGTGTGATGTAATAGCCACTGTTTTGGCATGCAGTGGACCATTTGCAATGATGTGAGTGAGGAAATGGTCTTTCAATCATCATGAAAGAAAGCAATTCTCAGGCAGAAGCACCATCTGCTGGTGGACACCAATTCTATTACTTCACTTAGAAAATTTACAGCATAAGCAACAACCTTCAGAGATCATTAATGTGCTTAGGGGGCTCTGTGAGACCTTAATTCAAGTCCTAAATGTAATATTTACTCACTTTCCACATCAAAGCCCTCATGGCTCTATGTTACTCCAGCCTCTAGCTAAAGAGTTCCACAAGCAAACAATTGCTTTAACAGAAGAAAAAGGGTTCTCAGATTTAAAGAAAGATCAAGCTTTCAGCCTCCTCTCACAGAAGTCAACATGAGAACTTTCACTGCCTCCCGAGTGCCACAAGAGTTTCATCACTGACAGCAGATAATTCTTAGGACTGGAATGCAAAGGCTGTACGTGCCCCATTGGCCTATGGGGGCTTTTGTTACCAACAAAAGGAAATTTCTCTCTGCCCTGAAACATGGAGTAAAGGCAATGTACCATGCAACTTTCAAGAAAATGTTAACATGTTTTCAGGACTGAAAGGGTGACTACATTTTGCCCAGCAGATATGTTGAATGATCAAAAATTTGCTTACACTCCAATCAGAAGGAAAGGTGAAAAATATTGTGTTATATATTATCCAGGATACAGTTAATATGCTTACCAGAGGCACTATTTTGAGCTAGGTTCCTACATTCTTTCATTAAAGGATTATTTCGGTGGCATAATTCAGGTGCATTGCTTCACAAAGGGACAGACCTGACCTTTCTGACCTCAATTCCCTGAACTTGGGTATGATTCAAAATATGAATCCAGACCTGGATTCAAATTCTGCAGATCATCAGTACATAAGAAGCTGAACTTCAACTGTACTTATTCTTCCTTCATCTTCTTGGAAGGCAAAAAAGATAGACTTTTTCTTAGAACTGATCTATAAAACTTGATTATTTTCTGCTTTCTCTATTTAGATTTTAGTTTTGATAAGCCTTGTGCTCACTGATGAGAATTACCATAAAGCCAACACACTAGCAAAGTGCTCCAAAATGGGTTGGAGAGAGAAGTGTGTCACCTGTATGCCCACTCATCAAGAGGACCAAACCTGAGGGGAGAAGATCACTTGCTTCAAAAGCTCCATATGTGTCTGCATTTGGCACACATCTCAAAGCCATGTGCCTGACCTGGAAACCTGGCTGAATATCATCATCCATGACAAGGAAGGTATTAGATATAAAAATATTTGGGGCTTTGGAGTGCCTGCCAGTGAAGCAAAAGTGGATTTAATGTCTTCCAGAGATATGTTTTTCCATAAAACAGAACAATGGGATGTCTCTTCTTTTCCGCTTGGAGTACATGGAACACAACAGATGCTGCAGGTCCCTCCAACCTCTCTGGCATTATTGCTCTAAATAATATTTCCCGTTTGAAGGGGCAATTGCAGTCTTATTAAAATAGCAAAATGTTTATCTTTCCCTTCAGATGTCAGGCCAGTAGCAAAAGTCAGTCAGCATTCTACAGTGAATACTAAAATGGGTTCTGCTCATTTCTTTCTCCATGTAGATGCAAACTATGAGGCAAAGGGACAGGCCGTGCAGAAATGGCCATGAAGAAAAGGCAATGGAGGAAAAAATGATGCTCTACTACAGCTTCCTCACAAGGGCAGCGCTGAGCTCTGCTCTGTGTGACAGCGACAGGGCCCGAGGGAACGGCATGGAGCTGCGTCAGAGGAGGGCAGCTGGGGGCCAGGGAAAGGGGCTGCACCACAGGGCAGTGGGTGTGGAATGGGATGCACGGGGCTGTGGGCATGGCCCCCAGTGCTGGAGTTAAGGAGAGTCTGGATAACACTGTCAGACACACGATCTGATTTTTGCAGTGGTGCTGTGTGGAGACTGGAGTTGCACTTGGTGATCCTTGTGACTCCTTTCTAACTCGGGACGTTCTATGATTCTATGATTAAGCATTTTGTTTGTATTTCTTGCACTGATATATATAGTTCTGTGTCAAAGTTTTTTAACCACAAGACCAGCTCAGTCTTACACTCTTTCTACTGGATTTTTTTTACAAACTCAGCGTATTTGAAGGCTCTGTCTTTTCTGAAGGTATTTGCTGAAAATACAGATACAGTTTTGCTCACGTAGCTCTAAACAATCTGGAAGCTTCCAGACACACTGCATGTGGTGTGAGATGTTTTTCAACACGTTGGAACCTTGAAGGGAGCTTTATCTCACCAAGAGGGAACAGCGTGAGCCATACCCTGCAGCAACCATAGCCGATATGAGACTTAGGAAGAGTGAGAGCATTGTTTCTGAAGGGCGCAGAGACATACCACCCAGAGACAACGCCTGGCTACCAGCAGAGCTGTCTTTGGGTATGCTGTCCCACGAGGCGCCACCTTACACCTAACATCATGCTATGCAGATGATAAAAGTCTGCTTGAGAGGCCCCAAAAATCTGGCAGTGCCCTAGAATTTCCCTTGATCTTTTACACAAGGATCCCTGTTATTAATTCAGTGCTAAGCAGTATTTTTAATTGATCATTAATATCACATCAAAGGTGGCTGAAGCTCACTTCACGAGAGGAGTAAGGACCAAAGGCTCATCTGAGCAATCCTGAGCTTTGTGAAACTGGAGATCAGATGCTTTGTCAGGTATCATTAATAATGCATTGAAACCAATTATCCCATTCAAGATTGAAACCAATTATCCCATTTAGCAGGAGGAATTAAGGAGTTCAGAGCCATCTTTGCAATAGAACCTGATCCTGATACATATCACTGTGTACCTGAGCTCTCCATACGTTAGCTAGGATCCCAGAGCAATGTCCCTAGTAAATTTTATGGCACCGTCAACACTAATAAGGGAAACAATGTCAAATGCATATGCAAAATGAGGTCTAAAATCACAGCCTGTACAGCATCACAATAAGAAGCAGGCAGAGCACAACAATCCCCTTTCACAAAGAATTTTTCTATTACAAAATCCATTTGCTTTTCACCCCAGAGAGAACAGAAATATTCCATTTTCCTCCTGAAAAGGGAATGGAGTCTCAGGTCGGTGGGTGGGGAGGGGCACAGGGAACCAGAAGGGCAGTCTGCGTGCTGCCTGAGTGACCAAGGAGGTGTGAGATGGGTCTGTCCAAATCTCACCCTAACGTTTTGACAAGCTGGTGAGCTCCTTGTTTTGTTGCTGTTTCTTCAACCAGTTGTCACAGTAAGGGACCCAGTTCGTAGAGAGGATGCCAACAAAATACTGCCGTTGTGTTCTGGAGAGCAGAGCATACTCCAGCCTGGCGCTCTCCCTCTTGTTTGACAGGAGCTCTTCAGTGTGCGTATGAACAAGTTCAGAGAGAGGTTGATCCAGCCAGTAGAAGAAGCCAAAGGCTCGGCTCATGCAGGTGCCGTTTTCAGAGTGACCACACCGTGTCCCCACAGAGCTGCACTTCCATCCCTATGCTCCTAGCAGAAAGGCATCCAAGCGGTGGCAGCTCATCTGCATGCCCATAAATACACCTCCCTCCAGCGCTGCTCTAACCCTTACTTATATGGTTAGAGCTGGCAGGAAAATAATTCTGACCTTCAGTTGCTACCAGTCCACTCAGTCCAGGCCCGGTGAGGCGAGTACGGATAGTCATAAAAAAACAACAACTTGTAAAGGTCAAAATTCAAGGTCTGCTGCTCATTACTAAGAAATAGCACCAGAAACCCTCCTCGTTTGCATAAAACATTTCGTGCTGAGACCTGCAACGTCCTGAAAACAAAGGTAAGCACCACTAGCTCCGTTTCACAGATGGAAAAGCGAGCCGATTGCCAAGACCACACAGCAGGAATGTAGCAGTGCTGAACCAGATCAGGCTCCTGGCTGTCTAGTATTGCCCTGCTGGACCATAGCTCCAAGTCTGAGTGATAAGGGGACAATGTGTGGGGTTTTGTTTTCCCTCTGCTATTAAACATAGTGTCTCCACATCAGAGGGATCAGAGCAAAGCAATGCCCACCTTCCCTCAAGGCTGTGCCTGTCCTGTTAGTGTTCCTTCAGTATAGGATTCTGGGCCAGACCAGGCACTGGGAGAAAGGCAAATTAGATGGTAGTACCACACAAAGCAGAAAGATGTTAAAGGATGCTTTAAAGGCTCTGGGGCAACCATTTCAGATAGGGAAAGATACTTTGGCTTGAGTGTGAAGATTCACAAAGCTCACAGACAGGAAAACCCTTGGATGAGAGAAACATAACTGCTCACCTACCATCAGCTTAGATCAGATTTGAAGGAAAACACAACTGTCAGAGTGGCATGTCAGCAATTGCTGTGTCAGTAGGCCTCATTTTGCTGTAGGTACTCCACCAGGCAACAATAGTCATTCTGTGATAACTCTGGTCAGCATCATCTCGCAGCAAGGTGCTTGCTCCTACAGCCAGTCTACTGGCCTTATCTCAGCAAAGCCAAACTTGCCATGCCTCCACCTACAATGGTTACACTACTAGATCTTCCATCAGGCCACTTAGCATCTAGGACTCATCTGCTAAAGAGTCAACAGATGATGCTGCCATCTATGTTGCTCCAGAATAACTTGTTAACAATTCCCCTATTCCTTAATGCTTAAAGTAGCAAAAGAAGTGAACCAGTGAATCTGGTTTTGACCAATGTAATTTCTGTTGATGAATCACTGTGGAGGAGGCCAACAAGAGAGCCATGGGACACAACCCTGCCACACTAGCTGTCGAAGTGAAAGCCAGAGGATTAGCTCCTAGAAGCACATCTGAGCAATATTGTCTACTGTCTCCATTACCACATAGGACTTCACCTTGGAGGCACAGCAAAATATGGATTCCTGCACTGCATGTGCCATCCGAATGGAAAATCACAGCTGCCCTGCCTGCCTAACCTCATACAAGCAAATTGCTTCATATAGTCTTACTCCAGATGGCAGAAGCTGTTTGCTGTGGGCAATGCATGTCCACCCAGAAATTAAATGCAGAGAAACTCCATATCCTGTCTTTCCCAAATGACCACCAGGTAAAAGCTTGACTATCAGAAGCTTTTCACAAGCTGTGGAATGCATAGGGAGAGCAAGCAGTTCTGAAGTGAAGGGGTTCTGCTTTAATTAGATCACTCCATCAGCATGCTCTTTGAGGCCCCAAGATTTAAGCTTCAGGAATTCAGCCAGATAAGGTGGTAAGAGACTCAATTGTGTGCCTTCAGCATCAAGGCTGAGCCCACAAGTCAGAGGCAATCAGATCGTGAGGGTCAGGAGGCTCCTAGAAATGGAGCCTGCAGGGCACCATGCACCATAGTGGCCCTGGGATTCTGTCTCAGCTCCATTATTTTATAGTTCTCTTGATTTTTATAACTTTTAGGGAAGGATGTATCATGCACCTTCTTTTACAAAGACTATCTAACTAGTGAAAAAGCAAACAGCCTTTAGCCTGAACAGGGCAAACAGCCCTCACTGCCCTGAGCAGTCAGTAGAGAGATTTCAGGCCTAAGTTGTATTTTAAGAAAAAAGGCCAGGACAGCATGTGGCTTGTGATTATGCTCACATCCTTTCTACCAGTATCATGACCCATCTTTTCTGGGTACGGTGAAGATGAATGATCTCAGGGATTGCAAATTGCCCCAGTAATCAATGGGGAGCTTTCTTCTCTGCTTGATGTCCAATTTGAGCTGACTTGATCCCTTCCCCTCTGGTTGAGCAAGACATATGTGGTGTGTGGGGTGAGCGGATCTCTATGCCAAGCCTGTTGCTGCTCTATGTCCTCTCCTCATCTTCTCCCTTTCTGTACCATGCCTGGGTTACAACAGCTGTAATTTCTCACCACTCCAAGCTGGTCCACAGCATCCAGGGAGGTGCAGTGGTGAAAGGGCTGACCAGTCTGCACATTTCCCCTGGCCTTGTGCTCTGTCCATGGAGCCAGCAGTCCCAAGAGTGCTGTATAATGTGAGCTGGCTTTCAGGAATGATTTCTTGCCAGAAGCTTCTCTGTGTGAGGCCAATGCAGTTTGCTGGTCCATAACCACAGGAAAAACTTTACACTTGACAACCATAAAGTATTTTTGTAACACGTGCCTTTCTCTGCACTCGTTGACCTGTAGGAGGGCCCTTACCTCAGTCCCTTGGCATCTAATTCCATAAGCACAGTGTCTCACCACATCACATCCCTGTTTCTGGATGAGCAGGACCTCTGCTCATCCTGGAGCACCAGGTGAGGAGGCTCTCACTTCAGAGTGAGAGAGCACTCACCATGCTGGCACCCAGCTGAGTGCTCTGGCAGCTCTTGAGCACCCAAAGACACATTTGGCAGGAGCTTGGGATGTGACTGAACTCCCCATGGTCATCTGGGTGGAGGGTCACACAGAACTGATAAAGATGAAAGTGAAGATGATCACACTGTGGAGACTGATATGTCAATAGTTGAGAGTAAACATCCGTCACGAGTGGCAGGCTGAGGACTTCCGAGAAGTACAGGTGCAATGCAGACAACTGATGCTTCTGACCTGTGTGCTCAAGGGCCACCTGCAGTGACCAGAGAAGCCCTGATACAAGAAAACCTTTTGTGACTGCCATATTCAGGAATATGAATAGGACAACACAAGTCCTAACTATGAGCTCAAAAATGGAGAGATGCTTTCCCTCACAGCATCTCCTGGCAACAGGAACATAAGAATAATCCAGCCAATGTATGGTGCTGCCAGCCACCCCAGTGACATCGACCTACAGTGCCACATAGACGTGACAGCATCATTCTCTTTACCAAGCTCCGTGGCAAAATCAGAAAGTAGGCCTGCTCTGCAGTGTGGTCATGGGAACAGCTTCAAGAAAATGCATAGCCAGTTAAAATAAGGGTGGTTCTGTGAAGGTCCTTATTCAGAAAAAGGCTGTAGTGTAAGTTTACTTGTTGCTATACAAAAACCAAACAGCACACGTGGATGCAAGAGAACCAAGGTTTGCTTAAACAGCCTTGCAAGGATCCTGTGGGAGCCCGAAGCTTTAAGCATGCATTGGAAGCATGCATCTCAGGGTAGCAGTGGACTCGCCACTCCTGGAGGTGTTCAAGAGCTGTGTGGATGTGGGACTGAGAGACATGGTTAGGGGGTATGGTGGGAGCAGGCTGATGGTTGGACTAGATGATCTCAAGAGGTCTTTTCCAACCTTCATATGTCTATAACTCTATGATTCCATGAGCACAGTATAGCTAAGTTTGAAAGTGACTTCAAGAGGTCATCTAGTTCAGCCTTGCACTCAAACATGGTCAGCTAAAAAGGGTGTGCATTGAGCAGATAAGCTGTGACTGTGGTTAAGTACTAAGGGGAGCTTGCCTGAAATGCTACAGGGATTTGTGTCAGAAATGCCATACACTATGGACTGGTGATACCTGGAGACTGATAGGGTGTTCTAGCCTTTCATTGGAGCTCCTTAAAGAGCAATGTAGATAAAGCCACAGTGAGCCAGGTTTGTTCATTCACTGCTTTTGCTCTGGAATTACTGCCGGAGACAGTGCTTACTCTTACAAGCACAAAAGCACATGGTTTCATTTCTGCAGTAGCAGCTCTAGCCCTGCCCCTTTCTAATCTCACCAAGCATGTGCCCAGAAACATGCCTTTTACCTGAGTTCCCACATACTGCTTCTTCACACTTCCGCTGCCACTGGAAGCTACTAGTTTACAGCAGATTGCCAAGGACTGTTCATTAACCCAGGTGACTGAAAAGTGTCTTCTCAGCAGTAGAAGAATGATATTGAGTTTTAAAGCTTAAAACAGCCTCCATGCATATTTACATCCCCCACAATTGTAAAGAAACCTGCATCTTTATCTTACCTAAAACTTGTAATGGTCCTAAGTACATCTGGCCTTCTCATCCAGGCAGCATTTGTCAGTGAGATCTCTTTCAACAACGATGGTGATCTTACTGGCTATTTAACTCAAGCATTGTGTGAATGTGGCTTCTGTACAGCTTGCAGCACAGGCATTAGTTTTAAGAGTTCCCTATAAGTTGACTAACAAGTTGTTCTTCTGGAACTATTGTATTTCATTTCTTCTTTTTTCCTTAGTGGCTTGACTATTAAGCTAAGACAACTTGTTCACATGGGTAATAATCCAATAACCAGATGTAGCCACACAATAAATATCTTGATAGCCAGACTTCATGTAGGATTCACAAACTATTACAGGCCAGCCCCAAATCCTTCAGTCAGATCATGCAGATTTTTAAAGCAAAGTAAAAGGAAAGAAATGACAGAAGAAAGACAGAAACTCCTTTAATATCACCAGTTCTCTGTATTTAACTGGACAAACAGCTCCTTTACACACAAACTTACCTGCATTCAGAGGGACAGAGTTGAAATGAATAGAAATTTTACTTTATAATTTCTAGACTCTCACAGACAAAACTGTTAATACAGCTCCTAATTTTGTGCTTGCATGGGAAAGAAGGGAGAAAAATTAGTTGTTAGCAGTTGGAATGACTGGCCATTTTTGCTCTGATCCCCTAGGCTGTTGAACAAAAATAGACTTCTATAGATACCAGGACCATTGAGACAAGTCAAAAACCCAAAATCTAAGATACAGCTGGGCTCTCAACTGATTTTATCCATCAAATTACAACACTCAGCAGCTTTACTGTTGCCCTTCTTAGAAATGTGGTTAGAATTTTTCTTTCCAAGTCAGAAAAAAATCGTAGGCTTTTTTCCCCAACTTTCCCATAATGTAAATGTGACTAGAACTCTTTGTTAAAATTTCTGCTCTCATAGGCAAGTTTAACCTCCAGGCAAACATCAAGAAGGGAAAACTGCCTCCAAAGGTGAGTGTTTTGGAAAGTCACAAGAGTGTGAAAAATAGGGGCCATAATGGAAACTGTTCTTGCAATAGTAGGCAAACGATTGTATTACCATATTGGATTCTTTTGCCACAGTATTTTGTGTTTCAAGCCAACGCACAGTGCACCAAAGAAAAACAAAACCAATAATGAAGTGACCAAAATTCAATGTTATTCCAAGAAACATAGTTGAGGTGAAATAAGTTATGTGGAATGGAAGCTGAGGTTAAGTGAACACAAAGACAAAGGAATTTGTGCAGTCTGGGGCATGTGTAGTAAATATCTTTGCCTTTGCATCTGGTACAAATTGGAGATTGCCATGCACAAAGTGCATACCCTAGGCCAAAACAATGATTGGTCTGAAAAATATTCCAATTGTCTTTGAAAACTAAATATTTTTTCTCTAGGATTTGTGTTTGTGTAGCTTCAAGATATTCCATAGGGAACCCTGTAGAGTGCCAGTGTTAAATGATCAAATGATAAAATTACTCTATTATCTGTGGCAGAACTTAAAAGTTTAAAAAAGAGACCCCTGCACCCTCGAGTCAATGTTCCTGACAGGTCTCACATGGACTGCCGTTATAGAGAGAAGTGTTAGTCGAGGAGATGTGCTTTCCATTCCACCTTTCTAACAAACTTCCTTTCTTCTTGTCAGCTTTCTGTTCGATGGCTTTTTTTAAAACCATGTTCACTGCAATTTGTTTGTTTGCCCTTCCCATATTTTCATTCATTGAAGGGGAAAGGAATGAAGATGGACTGTAGAAATCCATAAGCACTGGCCAAAATGTGAATTTAAACTGCAAATCCCCTTGTGTTGCACAACTTAACAGAGAAACTTCATCTTCTCTTGGACTGGGCACTCCTGACTCTGAAGTTACTTGTCCTTTGCTACTTTGCAAAATATCTTACTTCGCAGCACCAGCTGACTTATGATCAGTAGTCAAAGAAATACTTGGAGCTGACTATTTGAGGTGAGGCAAGGACATGGGGAGGTGAATCCCTTTAGCTTAAGCAAATACAATATGGACACCTGCATTAAACTACTCACGCTAGGCAAGAAACAAGTTCTTTTAGGGTGTGACTCATCTGGCCTAAAGTAGGTGATTGATTTAGTATAAGATGAATTGTGCTCTGCAAGTGCTTATTTGTCTTTATTGACTACAAATGATATGCAGGGTGACCAGCCCTGTTTTAAATGCCTACATTGTCAATATCTGCACGTGAACAGAGGTTGTCCTGGTGCTGCTTTCTGGTGGAAGTGAGGACACTGACCACATCTGACAGATAGTATCTTGATTGTCAGTATTACAAACCAGCATGTTACTACTACTAACTTCTGTTTCTTATACGAGTGCTAGAAAAAAAAAAAAAAAAGAAGCAAATGAGGGCTCTGACAACTATGTGAAATCTGCTGATTTTTTTTCTTATATGAAATTGGGGGGTGGCTTATAAAATGATTTCTTGATGATTACTTCATGTAAACAAGAATCAGCATGACCTGCTGCACTCATTGCTGTAGGAACCCAGACTGAGCAATGAAGAGATAGGAAAATCTGAGCACTGGAAGAGAGAATTTTCATAGAGCATAAGAAAGAGAGATGGAGAAAAAAAGAAAATATATATGGGAGTAAATAACCCAAAACAGTGAGGTATAAGGTAGAACACCATGAAGAAACATGAAAGGTCTGTCTCAACCTAAGCCTTCCTCATCCAAGAAATCCCATTTCCAGGAGCAGAACCCTTGGAACTTGTATAAGGAAAATGGCAGTGTGCTCTATGGGATTCCCCATTTGCTACTGGTCATGACTATCTTTAATACAAGAGTTTTCAATATTTACTGAGATCTGGATGATCTTTTCTTTTTACTTATTTCTAGGTTGTTGCAGATCATTGTATGTCCTATTCCCTTCTTCAGCTGCTCTGTTCTTCTGCACTGGTTTATATATCTCTCTGTGATAACAGATGCTAACACAGAGGTACTGCTAGTTCAGATCTCTCAGACCTTTGGCCCATGCAGTTCCTTGAAGTGAATTTATGTCAGTAGAGCTCTTTATGCTGCATGTCGCCAGCTGTGGGAATAGGGCAGTAATAGAAGGGGGCCAGGGAAACCAGGAAAGGTTTGGGAGTTGGTGAGAACTTTGGGAGATGTCTTTCCTTCTCTGTCCTCTCACTAATTTCTCTGCTCTCTCTTCCCAGCACACGTGATTTTCTTGAGGGATACACACATAAAGGACTCTACTGTGCAATAATGGCACAAGTCACTGCTGGCCTGACTCCCACTGTAGCAGAAGAACATGGGGCACAAGAATAGCGTCACTTGGGAATCTGCATTTACAATTGCCCATTTTCACTCCTTTCTCCTTCAGTTCCCTGGGAACATGGGACCCTGCCCCTTGGCTACTGCCCTTTTGACACATGTACCCCTTTGCCTACTATTTGCACATCCTGATGAATTCTTTCCCAATCATATTCATCTACATGTATTGCTTTTACTTATCAGTCTAGTTTAGGATGGTCTTTTCCCATCCTTGGTTACTCTCTTCTTTCTGTGGTGCTGCTGCTCCCTTCATATAGGGAGGAATTTTCGGGGGAGGAAAGCTCTTTTCTGTGCACTTTCTGATTCTCAGAGCACAGCAAAAGACCTGGAGAGACTGATGTCTCTTCTAGCCTTCCATTTGCTTTAAAATTCATTCCTTTTCCTCTGCAAAGGCCAATGAGTTGTTGCCTCTCAACTAAATGTATCTGTAGCAGCTCACTGGCCTTCTAGTCTGTGGACATATACGCCGTACAGAAGAGAAACCAGGATCAGACACTGCATGCTTCTCTCTCACCTTTTCCCTTTCTTGGACCCAAGATTTTCCATGCTGATTAGCTGCCAACTGCATTCTTGCATTCCCTAAGCCCCTCAAGGAACTTGGCCTTTTGTTTGCATGAATGGATGACAGCCCGACGCCTCAAGAAAGCCATGGAGGATGAAGAGCAGAACAGCAGAAACCATTCTTGTGGACAAATCTGTGAAAGACTGGCATGAAATAGGGCTGATTCAGCTTCACAGTACATTGGTCAAGGCCAAATTCTGCCTACTCACATCCATGCAAGTTTGTGGGATACATGAAATTCTGCAGAATGCTCTGCTTCAGTGAGACACAGGATATAAATATCTTGGTTTAGGACTAGCAAGACAGACAGACAGATAGAGGGTTTGCACTTCGTTTCAGTGCTGCAACATGAACTTCCCCAAGGAGCCAGTCTGAGCCTTGAAAAGTTGGCCACTGCACTGAAAGATAAAACAGTAAGAACTAACAAGGCTTGTAATGATTTGACTGAACCTAGATGAGAATTTAAGTGCTATTTTCCTGTGAGCCCATCTGCAGGGGACTGCTGGCATGCAGGATATCCACTTTGGCCCATCAGCACTACAGTTCTGAGGCTGTCTAGCCCACATTCACTTATTGGTTAGCTCCTCTATTTCTAAACCCAAGAAAGTGCCAACTCAACTCTACCTCCAATTCTCAGAAATGTCAGCTAAAGAAGACTCAGAGAATATTAAATTAAAAGTGAAATGGAAAAAGAACAGAGCAAAGAAAGAAGTTTGTTGTTGCAAATAGCTACAATACAAAGAAAGCTTGATTTTTTATGTTTCTGTTGTAAAAACTGCATGTGAAAATGTACACACTTCAAGATTAAAATGGATTATGATGGTATATAAGACTAAAAATTAGGTCGTACTTATGACAGAGTGACTTATGTTGCCAATTGTCTGCCACTAAGTCCAGAGCAATACTTGCACAGTCATAAGGAAAAGCAATGGAAATATGGATATCATGTGAAACTCACCATGCAGGAGTACTGAGTCCACCAGTTCAAGTTTATTCACTTGCAGCCCCATCATTCAGTAAAACTGTATGTCCCAACCAGAGTCTCCCCTGAATTCTTCTTTTCTACAGCTTTACATTGTGATTGCTAATTACCACTACTGCCCTACATAGCATATAGTTAAAACTATCCTGATGCTACACCATAAGCAAGGGTAGATAGAATCGTGATTGAACACTGACAACCACGATAATCCAGCAGAAAAGGGGAGATTTTTAATGGCACGACTGCCAGGCAGATGTTTAATTCCCTCTCATTTTAGGAACTGCTATGCAGCGAAACACGTTTGTGCACTTAAGAATCTTTGTTGACCCTGTAACTACCACAAGAAGTAAAATTAAGAAGAAAGAGATGGGCATATGTCTTCACACATAAATCTTTACCTTCACTCACTTACTCTGTGTTGATGGTCCAGAAGAGTATATTGGGAATATCAAGATCTAAGGGGAAAATTAATTGCATTTTTTGTTTATCTTCTAGAAATCTCTACTGTTCTGTAGCCAAAAATTATTCTTTTTCTGCCTTTTTGGCACTATTTTTATTAGACTTACAGTATCTTTCAAGCAATTTTAAATAATACCATTTCCAAAGAATGACAATGGCTGTGGCAGTTCATTGTTGCATTTCTAATCATCTCATTTTTCCCTGCATCTACATGATTTAGAATTCTTTGTGGTGCTCTATAAATGGGTCTCCATTAAATAAGCCATAAAAATCTTTTAACCTAAGGTCAATATTTGGCTTACAGTGACTATATTTAAATACGATTAGTGGAACTCTGCATTCTGATTAAGCAATTCCATATAAAGTAAACTCACTATAATTTAATTTCTTTGAACTCTAGGCAGAGTATGAGATTCACATTTCTTTAGTAAAACTGTGGGGGTAGGAATACGATTTGATTACAAGAGTGAATATAAGATCATATGACTGAAAAATTAATAGCTTCCCTGATTCATATTTAATCTGTTAAAATAACTTTGCAAAAGGCTCTAAGCCAGAAATATTTGACTACTATACAGTAAATCAGCCAAACAGCTTAGTTCCCCATGGAAAATCCTCAACTGACATTCAGCATGATAACAGAATACTTAGGTTTTCATCCAAAACCTTTATGCCACATTTTCTTACTCATTCTTACACGTTTTGAACAGCTGAGAATTTATTGGGCTTTTGCCTGTTGAAAAAGATCTTGTGGATATTTCAATGGAGTGTTTATTGTTAACGGAGTTCAGACTCCAGGGACAAGTAATGTTCTCTATCTTAGATAAATAGACAATGGGAAATGGCCAATGTCACAACCAAGTCCCATCAAATAGATCACAACATGTCATTCATATTTGGTGAGTAAAAAATTGTCTAAGAAGGTCGTGAGTAGGAAAAAAAAAAAAAAAAAAAAAAAAAAGTAACTTCATTACATCTAGTGAAAAATAAAAAGAACATTATGTGCGAGATCCGTTGAAAACTTCATTATGTGTGAGATCCATTGAAAACTTGGCTAAAACTTCGCTTTGATTTGTGGGTGGAGAACATCTAAATCATTTGGTATTTGCTGGTGGGAGACAGAGATGGAGTTCCACTGTTCCACTGAGATACCAAACAAACTGTTCCAGTTTAATCCCGAAGATGACTCCCGTCTACCAGAGTTGAAGGGCAGAATTCAAATTCAGAGCCAATAGCCTGAAGTTTACTTGCTTCAAGTCTCACACATCTTTCTCTTCTCCTTCACTTATTATTCCCGCTTAGGTAAGAATGACAACGTACCTTACTGCAGAAGACTGAGTTGGGACTTCAATGATTTCATCTGTTAGAATCTCATGCCTCAAAAGTCATGGGCAAGTGCAGTACTCTGGATTGCTTTAGGTCAGAGGTAAACATACTGAAGGACTGTGGAGAAGCCTGCATTGCCATTACAAAAAAAGCCATGCTTCTTTGAAAAAAAAAAAAAATCTGGTATCTTCAAACACACCTTCTTACCTTTAAATGCACTTAAAGAAATTGCCAGAAATTCCAAGGTGTTTCTCTGGAATTTTCCTGCATTTAAGACATGTTAGTAACAGTGTATTGGCCGTAGCAGATAGTCCAGAGTAATGGTAGGATCTCCCCAGTTCCGAACAAGACAGAAGCTTCAGAAACAAACGGAAAACCTTCAGTCATCATTCATCTCAGTACTGTGATTCCTTAATCTTCAGCTGACATAAACTTCAGCATTCAGCAAATAATAACATCAGTTATTAGTTATTAGGCTGAGGTAGTCCTTGTGTACCCAGCCATTTATTCAGTGCAAGGAAAAATGGCAACATGAGCAAGAATTGCTAGAAAATTTATGTGTATAAAAGATATACATCACAGTTAAGTCCCTGGTAAAGTCATGATACTAGTCTCACTGTCAGTGAGGGCTACATCCACAATAGCAATGCCAGGGATTCGATAACAAACCCTCCAGATTCATTTCCTGTAAGTCAAGCAGACAAACCTTTAGTTAATATTCATTTGTCTCAGATGAAGTAAAGGATTGTGGTTATTACTCCATCTCACTCTGTGCTGCCTTCACGTAAGCCACAAATGGCAGAGCCTGGGACACAGGTTATAGACACGGGTTTACCTGTTCTAACTTGATTAAAAAGACGATCCAAGAAACCTGCAGAAATGTACACAACCACCCAAACAGTGGTGGAGTGCTCAAGAATGGTAACTTTGCCTCAGGAATTGAACTGAACTTCCCTTTCAAACACCTGCTTTTCAAATGCAGGGAGTTCTCCCTTTCATGGCCCTGCCACAAGGATAGGGTTCAAGATCCATCTCCCCACCAGAGATAGCCGCAGCTTGAGGATTGCCTTGGCCTTGGGAAAGCATCGCTCCCCAAAAAGCAGTATTTGTTCATGACTTGGAAGAGCATAGAGAATAGCAGATACAACACGCTCCTTTCCCTAACACACCTGCATTTCTGGCAATCAGTGATTTACTGTTTGGGCTGGAGGCTGCAGCCAGTGTCAATTAACTACAAAGAAAAACTGTCCTATATGAATTTATTTAATCTGTCTTCTAACCGATTTAAACCTTTGGCCTCCACAGTATGTTTTGATGAAGACTTTCACAACTTAATTATACATTGCATTAAAAAGTGCTTCCTCTGGTCTGTTTTAAAACCTCTACTTGATACTTTCATTAACTTGTTTTTACTGCTTTTATTACAAGGAACAATGAGTAATCCTTCCCTGTTCCTCATTCTTCATGGTTTTATGGATCTATATTACTATCCACCTTTTTCTAATCTGTTAGCCTCCTCTCCTACAGAAACCCATCTATATTTCTCATCATCTTTATTGTTCTCTCTTCTGTCGCTTTAGAATCGTAGAATCACAGAATATCTTTAGAGTTGAAAAGGACCTTTAAGGGCCATCTGGTCCAACTTTCCTATAATAAACAGGAACAGCCCATCTCCATCAGGTGCTCAGAGCCCTGTCCAGCCTGACTTTGAGTGTCTACAGGGATGGGGCATCCACCACCTCTCTGAGAAACTTGTGCCAGTGTCTCACCACCCACATTGTAAAAGACTTTTTCCTTATGTACAACTTAAATCTCCTCTCTCTAAGTTTGAAACCACTTCCTTATTTTAGCCCAATCACCATTATCCACATGGTCCATGGTCCTTTATGCCAGAGATGTAGTGATGGAGCACACACTGTAAGTTCAACTGTTGCCACTTGGTTTCCCTTTGCAGTCCAGGGTAAAAGCCACCTAGCCCTGCTAATTCCTTTCTATTCATTTTACAAGTTGCTTTGTTCAGCTCCTTCTCCTGACATTTCACCTTAATATGATTTCTCAGGATATTCCCTGTAAAGATAACACACTGCGTGGGAACTTCTATATGAAGAAGACAGGAGCACCATAAAGCTCAGTTCCATCAGTGTTGTGAAACACCTCTCCCCATTTCTTCAAATAGTCTTGATACTCAAAGACTTCTTCTTGCCACTGGATCTGTGACATGCAAAGGATTGCTGTCTGTAAAGCCACTCATCCCTCGTGAGAAAACAAAGCCTGTTCTGTCCTTGCATTAGCAGACAGTCTGATGCATAAACTTCTGTAAGCACTGTTCTTTTGTTATTATTTGCAGAAGCTGCAATAAGTCTCTTATGTGTCTTCCAAGCCTTGGCCATGAAGAAATAGTTACCCTACCTGTTGGCCAAACAGCTGCTGTAATTTGATTCCTGCTCTTTTCTTTTTGGTTCCTGTTCTCCTGGAGAATCGCTAGTTCTTGCTGAAATTTGTATTGTGCCTGTTTTTGTTAATTCATCAGATGCCAATGAACTGGTTCCTCATTCTGTTTGACCAGCTGTTTCATATAATCTGTTGTTACAACTGGATTTAAAAATCTCCCAGGAGGAGCGTAATAACTCAAATGTGTCAGATCTGCAGTAATTCATGAAAGATGCTTAGTATGTGGAAATCCACATTTCTTAAATGCAAGTATCAAGATATCAGCCCTATTGTCGAAACCAAGATGGGACTTTCAATGTAACCCACTTGTCACTTACAATTCCCCTGATCCCCTTCATATTACTGTGTAGCCTAAATGTTTCTGTGTTTGGCCTGTCCACAGCTCAATATATTTCCTTTTAAGAGAGAAAAAAAATCTGATCAGATAGAACCAAATGATCAGAACAATTAAGAAAATCATTTAGATCCTCTTTGTACGTGTGTAACTCAAGAAATGTTTTGTTTAAAGTCACACATTTGGCATGTGTCTAAGAGGAATGTGCAGTTTGCATTGATATAAGAAATATGGTAATGAATGTTTGAACATTTTCTACTTTGTAATTTGTAATTGTCTTCACTGGTTTAGCAATAAGTATATAAGTATAATGTTGAGAAGGTTTTTAGTTATAGTAATTTGACTGCAACACAGCCCCTTTTGTTATCTTACTTGACTTAGGAATTACATAAGATGTCATTTGGAAACCACTGTCTAGCATTATACAAAGTCAAATGCATATACCGTGAAGAGAGCCTCAACATTTTCTTTATAAAAGCTATGGCTCAGTGCCTTTTCCCTGCGGCACATTCTCACCTGCTAAACAGCTCCATTTAAAATAGTTCATACTAATAGGCATAAACTACAATGTGCAAAAACAGATTTTCAAGTCCATTCTGGTACTTACGAGAAATACAGTTAAGTGTAATCAGAGAGACAGCAATTGGTTCTTTCATTAAAAAAAAAAAAAAAAAAAAAAAAAAAGAGTAATCCCTGATAATATAAAGCAGTATTGCATCACTGAATCCTGAGTTCCATCACTTTAGACTTAGGATTCTACTGGTCTCAGTATATGTGGTACCACTCAGCATTCACAGCTTGGTAGCATGATGGCAGTGAAGATCCCTGTATTGCAAAGTTGGACTCACAGGCTGGCTTAAAGCACACTTCTCATCCATGCTAAATGGACATAGAATCATAGAATCAATCACAGAACCACGTGAGCTGGAAAGGACTCCTAAAGGCCGTCTGGTCCAACTCCCCTGCAATGAGCAGGGACACCTACAGCTCCATCAGGTGCTCAGAGCCCCATCCATCCTGACCTTGAGTATCTCCAGGAATGGAGCATCCACTGCCTCTCTGGTCAACCTGTCTCATGCCCTTCTTGGAGAAACCACACTTGGGCTGTTTGTTTGATAACTGGCCTGTGATATGCTTTGTATTTCTGCATACAGCTCACTGAAAGAAGAATGTGGGCTCCAGCTCCAGCCACTGACCTTCAAACTCTTCTGCTTTAGGGAGTCAGAAGTCCACCTCTGCTGCCATGTGTATGCAAACAGTGTGGGCAGAGGGCAAGACTAGACTTCAGAACAGACTCCAAGCCAGAGAGCAACACAGAGACTGATACTGGCTCTTCAGTCATATGAGGTAGGGGACATGAGCAATGTCCTATGTACTCACTTCCACAAGTAGGATTAGACTGCTACCTTCATGTGCCTTGACCAAAAAAAGGATCAGCTTTGCATAGTGGAGCTTCTGTCCTGCTGCATACCACAGAAGCAGCTTTTTAAGCAAAGTAAAGGGCAATGCCTACTGCTCACCTTCCCACCTACAGCAGCATTTCCAATCTGCAGTTTCAACCCATGCAGTAGCCTGAAGTGCAGATGACAGAGACGTAGACATACTGTCCTTTATCTCTGATGTCTACTTATGTGTGTCCTAACAAGTCAGATTCTTCAAAGCACCAAGCTGCTGTTCCAGGGTCCCCTACACAACTTACTGCTCAGAGAACAAGGAATATCTTTTAGCTACATTGCTAGTAGGTAACCTTGCTGACTTTAGATAAAGTGAGATCCCTGGTTTAGTCTCCTTGTGGAAATGACTGCTGACAAATAAAACATAGACAACTTGTGGTTAAAGCACAGGATCTTTGCTCTATTCCTGGAATTGCAGCAGATTTCCTGTGTGGCTTCGGACATGTCACGTAAGCCAAAGTATTCAAACCTGTGGCCAAGCCACTGGGTGCTCAGCAGCTTGAAAATCAGGTGTGTGCTTGTTTGTCGAAGTATAGATTTAGGACCCTTATTTTCAGCAGCCATTTAAAAATAAAATCTTTGGTCTATATGTCTCCAGTTTGACACTTTTATGGCCATGTTATACAGCCAGCCAAACTTCCTATTGAATCAAGGGAAGAGCACTGTGTTCTCTGGCTGTCGGACCAATTATCTATGTACAAATTTAGGTGTCTGTCTTCAGTTAGAAGGCTGACCATATGGGGATTCATCTCTCTGAGCCAATAACTTCCACCTACGAATGAAGAGGACCCTGGAGCACAATTGGATCGCTTGAGACCTTTCAGAGGCTCAGTACATTATAGGTGGAAATGTTTTAATCCTTTATCCGAGCAGAGAAATGCAAAAATGACTGTTAGTACTAATGTTTATAATGCCTCTCTAATTATACTTGATTTTGAATTGTCATTGAATATCCCTTATGTACTTTTAGTGGTGTAAACTGAACACTTGCTGGGCAGAAAGCTGTAGCAGTTGTTCTCACCCCAAAAAGGAAAGAGCATTTTTTTTCCTAACAAAATGAACCCCAAAATTTGCCCGCTAGTTCTTCAGTCCCACTCTTTCCCAGGATGTAAGCCTTCTGTTAAGATCCAATCACCATCAAATATAATCTAAGACCTTTTTAAGCAGAAAAAATGCAAGGTAGAAGTCCAAAACCACTAATTATTTTTCATTCCCTGTTTCAAATAACCTGTGAAAACAAACAAATACCTTCTATACTAGGACTTGCTATGGCAATTTTTAGTGCTGGCTGAATTTTAACAGCCAACATATAACAACAATACACCATTATTGGTAGTGGCATGTATGCTACCACGGTAAAAATATTTCCAGTGTGCAGGCACTGTATGGTATTTAAATAGAAATATCCTTTTTATTTTTGCTGACAGACTCCTCGGGCAACGCTGGATGATTGGAGAAGCAGAACTTTTATTAGCATACCCAGGGGCCGGCCAGCTGGATGCTATGTTTGACACTGTTCTCACACGGGAGGGGGTTATCAGGAAGAAGGAATGAAGTACATAAGCTGAGTCCCCATAAAGACCTGCACAGTACAGCCTAACAAAAGATGCGAATATGACGTAATTCATGTTCAGAAACTTCCCCTGCAGGATGGAGGGCTGTCATTTTTTCCAGTATGGGAAGCAAGTACGAAAGCAGGTGAAGTATCTCAAAATACTGGTGGTGAGTGAGATTTCCTAGCAAAGTGGATTAAAAATCCAAGGGAATCTTTAAACCAAATATTGGTTTTTGTAGAACAACAAAACCAAGATAGTGTTTCCACTCAGCCATAAAAGTTACTGCGGTTGTGTAATCATGTTGAGTTGTGGCCTTAGGAGAAGTTATAAAGCAGCTGCAGCAAATTAACTTTTCAAAAGTTATTATGGATTGGATGGAATCTAGAAAATTCCCCCATGTTATTTTTTTAAATAGAATTGTAAAACGAACAACTGTGGATGAGATCTCATCTCAATCTTCTCACTGTGTGCAAGCACTAACCTGAAAACTTCAAAGGGAAATGAAGCCAGAAGCACCGCACCCTCCAAAACAGACACTCTCCTACCAGAAACAGTCCCCGGCGTTCATCCAGAGGAATCCCACTGGAGAGTCTTTAAATAAAGTATCGGTTTCTGGGGTGATCTCAAGTGGTTGGCTCCTGGCAAAACAACTGGAGATCCTCATACCTGAAAAAGGAGTATGCAACATTAGGGAGAAGTCCACAGGGTGGTTATCACTGCTGGTGTGGGAGCAAATTCTAGATTCACAGGATGCTCTAAATAGGAAGTCACTGGTTCTTAGTCATAAGGCAGTGCTCAGTCTCCTGGCTTCCCAGTAAGACCTGATCTTAGCCAGATCAACACCCTCTGACCTCACATGGGAAGAAGTTACTGTCACTCAGTTAATAGGTGGCATCTTGACTCTCTAGGAGGAGGCAGCTGCCAGCTTTAATGAAAGTGTAATTTGGGAAAGAACAGCACTACCTGGCAGAGCACCTTGGGGTATAAGTTGAACACAGAAGAGAGCAGGAAACAAAAACAGTACAGTGTAAGAACACGCAAAGTAAAAAAAAGAAGACATTGGCATCATGGTGACTGCAGTCCCAAGTATTTGAATAAGAAAATTTGTCATCTGGGAGGTGAACAGTCTTGAAAACTCCTGGAACAAGCCATGAGAAAACCTCACAGTAAGTCAGAAATACATGGGGTTAAAGGAGGCAGGCATAAGGGATTAAAGCAGCATGTCTTACCATCTGATCTGAAGTCCATACTGCAACTGTTCTAAGAGAAATGTTTTTCATTTTGCCACATAAAGCTCTTGAATTAGATCTTAAAGAAGTGAAGATTCTTTTGGACAAAATATCCAGCATGCAGCTGGATAGGTGTGTAATATGATGGGTGAAGAGCTGGCCGATAAGTTAATCTCAAAGGGTTGTAGTAAATAGTGTTACATCAGGCTGGCATAAAGTCACTGGTGGGGCTCTGCAGGATTCCACTTTAGGGCTAGTTATCTTCAGTATCTTCATAAATGACCTGAATGCAGGACTTGAATGTATACTAAGTAAGTTTGCAGATGATATTAATGAAGAGGAGCTGCTGGCTCCCTCTCCAGGGGCAGAGGTTTGGCAGAAAGACCATGACAAATAGGAGGTTTGAGCACTCATCAACTGCATGAAGTTTAACAAGAGCAAATGCTAGATTCTGTACCTTGGATGGCTCAGTTCTGGATATCTGTACAGACTGAGGGATGAGAGGCTGGAGAACAGCCTTACAGAAAGGGACATGGAGGTTCTGACTGAGTGTGAATCAGCAGTGTGCCCTATTATCTTGCCCTGCCAATAGCCTGAAATGCACATACCCATCATTACATTTATTGTGTATAATAAAATGTAAAACACTCAACTGGATCTAGGACCTCGAGTTCCACGTTCTTGAGCTGCACAAGCAGACAATCTGAACACTTGAAGTCAAGGTTGGGTCTAAACACAATGGAAAGTGATCCAGTGTATGTATCCTCTAAGTATCTGAAAACAATGACTGCAGTACCTTTAGCAATGGTATATACAGCATTTCCACATCTGCTCAAAGCCAACTAATGTACCAGATCTGTAGGACCTGACCCGTTATGGCAGTAATATGAACCGCGTACAATGTTTCAGACCTTCAGAGTGTTCTACCAGCATAGATTAATGACTTATTTCCAACACTCACATGAAACAGGTACATATTTACACAAATAGGGAAATCAAGATCCCATTAACAATATATTTATAGAATGACCTAGTTGCATTCAGGCATGTTAGACTGCATTCTTGACTGTGGACAGTTTCTGGATGTGAAAAAATGTACATGTCACTTGACTAATGACTTAGTGTTGTGGTGTTGCTTCAAATATTTCCAAGTAAAGAAGTTCAAGTAAAGGAGTTCACAGTGCCCTCCTTCTTTGCACCTGTTTCCTATGTCTTGCCTGTTTAATTTCTCACTTGTCTGAGGCGGTGGACATCACTTACTTTCACTATGGTTTTATACCACCTAAAGGCAAAAGCCATATAAGAGAGTCTCTCTATTAGTGCTGGTCATTCTCTGGTCTAAAGGCCAGTAACAACGTGTGAAGTGCTTACAAGGGATCTGGGAAAAGTGACTGGGAAGCACAGCTGACAGTACATTTATGCTATGTTTTATCTACGTTAAAAAAATTGTCGGGATCCATTGATCAGAAAACATCAGAAAACTCTGAAAGACTCTGAAACTTTTGGTTGCACACATGTCCTATCACTACTGTCCCAGAAAAGGTGACAAACTAATTCATCTGCAGGATCCATTTTGTACTGTCTGCTTTTGGTTTGTCTTACAAGCAGAGTTTTCAAAAAGCCTCCATGATGCTAGAAGTGTTCTCTAATGAAATGTAGGTAGGAGTTTCACCACTGACTTCACTGGGAACAGCCTTAGGTCAACGCTAGGCTCTTTCTGGATAAATAAATAAATAAATAACCCAAAAAACCCAACAAAAAGCCCTCAGTCTTTGTTTTCTTTAGAAGGACATCCTGTGACTTCATTATAGAGTTCTGCCAGTCCAAGGGAGGCAGAAAAAGAGAGAGACAAAATCTCTTCTAAATATCAAATTATCAATAGAAAGCAGCCAGCGACTTGCCATTTTTACCAGTTTATAATCAGCAGGGAACTGTCACAGATGTCCTACATTCTCCAAACAATGTTTCAGTTTCTCTTTCCCTTTTGAATCTTTTCTGAGAATTCCCATCACCAGCCATCTTCCCAGTCCTCTGCTAGGTTTCACTGGGTTCTTCACTTCTTTCTTAAACCGTACCCTATAAAGCATATCCCCTTTTGTACATCTAGGTCTTCTTTCATCTTTCTTGCTTTCCTTCATACCCTCCTAACACTCACAGTATTAATTCAGGTCACTTCTGTTTTTTTCATCTCAGTAGAAGCGTGTAATTGTGTTTGAGTATCTGTACTATCCTCATCTGTATGAATAATGTTTTTCATTTCTACAGTAGTCCAACAAGGATGAAATCATTTCCATCTAATGCCTATTGGTGTTAAACCACAAAACCAATAAGAAGCCTTTCCCAAAAGGAACGCCAGTTCCAAGAAAATAATTTTTTATTACTAGAACCTGGATTCCCCGTACTGCTTATCTTGTACTTGTTCTAGGCCTCTACCAAACTTATTCAGAATTAGTGGAAGTTTATGCATCACCATCAAAGGAGTTAGGATTGCATTATAGCTTGTTACAAGATCATTGTATTTTCTCCTACATGCTCAATCTTGTTCCCACTAACTCCTGCATACTTCTGCTGGGTGTTGTATCCTTACAAGGGGTGTTGCACAGTAACAAGTGGAATTTTAGCCATCAAATATACCTTCTTTATAGACCATTTATTGTTTTTGGAAAGTGTTCAGTTCCTTCTATTGTTTTCCTGTCAATAAATGTTCACTGATGAATATGTTCTCCATGCTGATGACAGGTTTTACCTTTGGAGTAGACAAACAGAAGGGTGGTAAGACCATGCAAAGTCAGCTGCTGCTATGCCTTACCCTAGCATGGATGCAAGACACTCCAGGGGTGTCATGCTATTTACTTCTGGTATTAAACTGCTCAGTAGCTGAGACTGTATACAAACCAGCTGCTCTTCTAGGAGACTTATTAGTTGCTCCTATAGGAACACTCTCCATCCAAATCCTATTCAAGAATGCTACTGGGAACAAAGCTGGCTTGTCTCCATGAAACATTCACAGTATTGGAACATGAAGCTGATGCACTGTGTGCTATATTTTTCCTCTTCAGTTCGGGGAAAAATATCAGAAAAAAAGGAAGATGTGAGCCATCAAGTCTGCATTGCACCCACGTTGCAATCATGAACTGAGAACAAGATCTCACCACCAACGTTTTCAAGACCTGGCAGCAAATAGGAAAAACAACTGAACAACCAATGGCTGTGGACTCAGTCTTCACAGCCAGGCTTCTGTCTGATATGAGTTTGGGCTACTCCCATAAAATCAGTCCAGCCTATGGGCCACTTACATTCAAGCTTGCTCCCAACCATTTTAGTGATTAACTAAAGCATACGCGTCATCGCTTTCCACATGACCTCAGATTGCCAGATACCTGAATATGACTGAAATGGCCTGAGTGTGTTCAATGGCAGCAAAAAATGATTCTCTGCTTTTTAGGCACCATCATCTGTTTTAACAGAGTTCCTTTTAAAGAATCCCCTTGCACCTCCATAGAAAATCCATATGTTCTTCTAAGGTGACTTTGTTGAATCAAGAATGGTACCTGCATGCAGCCTCAGTTCTCTGTTTGTTACAAATAGCTCCTAAACTACATGCATTATAAAGCAGTTTTAAAGCAAGAAAATAGCTTGAAAGGAGTGAAGGCTTAAACAGAATGCTATCTAAAGAATCGTTCATGCTAGCTCAACAGCTTTTAACACCCCTGAGACTGCTTTATTGCAAACTCAGAGGAATAGGAGATATGGATAATAGCCACTCATGGCTTTTATCTCACCCTCAATCAAAAAGCTTCTCTATCTGTTTTCTATTTTTCACCAAAAAGCCAGTCTCTTATGTGCTTGCTGAAGGCAACTGCCCACTTCTCAGAGAAACCCTAAAAATAAGATGCAGTGGTGATGCAGTCCTACATAAACAATAGCTTGTTTTACAGAAGAAGTGCTCATTATATACTGCTTATAAACCAATCCCGGATGTCTTGTCTTACAAATACATCTGCATACAGTCACCAGTTCTGGCAAGGACAGCAGAGAGCATGGTAAAGCAGCATAGATCAAGCTCACAACACTCCTACACAGTTCATGAAAATAGAGGGCAAGCAGAAGACTGAGACCCTTGAGTCTTTGCCTTGACCACACTATCCATGGGCTGCAGTATGAGAACACCCTCTGTTAAACATCATATGAGACAGGAAAGGCCATATAAATGATTGCAATGAGATAAGAGCTTCCATCAGACATTGCACCTTCCTACATACCAAAGTCAGTCTCTGGATACATCCCACTAGAAAGCAGGATTTGTAAGTTCAAAAATTCATGGCACAGAATAGCAATGTCTGTACATTAAAGATAGCTTACAATAAAAATGGATTTGCTCACTTGTTTTCCTGAACCTCTGCTCTTCTTCCGTCTGGAAATTCTTCCTATTTTTAG